TATATATATATATATATATATATATATATATATATGTATGTATGTATGTATGTATGTATGTATGTATGTATGTATGTATGTATATACACATACATATATGTACACACAAGACACAAATACACATAAATGTGTGTGTGTGTTTGCATGTGAGTGTAATGTTCATACACCAACTAAAACACTCATAATTGAATATTTAGTTCATGGATTACTGATCAAATTGAGGACAAGGTCTACTAACAGTGTTTTCCAAACTTGGCAATTTTGAGACACGTGGACTTCAACTCTCAGAATTCCTGTGTCCACCCGCCTTGTGATTTCCAAATCAGGGTTTATGCTTTAGTGTATGCTAAAGTTGTGGCTTGGTCAACTAATAATGGTTCCTGTGTCTATCCATTGGGCTGCACTCCAATTGTACTCAGTCACGGCTCCTATGGGCCTCAATGAGCAGGGCCTGTTGTGAGGACTGCAATGAGAGTGTAAAAGTATTAGGAAGATTGTACAAATGTCTAAATTAAGGTTTTCATTAAACTACCATTGCTAATCCACAGTCTCTTCCATGGCTTCCATTGTTCCCCGGACGGTTTCCCCAGGCTCAGGGGTCTTCATCACTCGCCACGGTGCTTTCGTGGTCCGCTCAGATTTGGGTTACTTCCTTCAAACACTTGACTTCTGCTCAGGACAAGATCTCAAAATACAGCCCCTCCATCCTGCTTGCCGCGGAAAGGACCACTATGTGGGAGACCCCAGCAGTTCGGCCATCTATCTCCTGCACGGGGACTCCTTCTGCCAAGTGGCAGATCTGAACTCCGAGCCTCCCTCGGACGTCTTCCCATTGCACCCCAGCTGCCGTGGAGCAGACCACTACGCGTTCTGCAAGGGATGTTTTTTCATCTTCTTCCTGTCACGAGGGGTTGTCCTCTGCGTGGCTGATATGGCCACTGGGGCCTTGATTAAAGAGATCCACTTGGAACCCACCCTTCTCAATGGGCTGTACTACTATGGTGCTGATTCTGCCCATCTCGCTTGCTTCAGGATGGATGAGGAACAACAGCTTCGCGGCACCCGTTTTGCCACCACTGCAGGACACAAGGAGTCCTTTGCGATCGACCCAGACGTGGTTTCATTCCTCCCAGGTGGACTGTCCATCACCCACGGCGCTGCCTTCGGTCAGTGGCAGTGCCTCAAGCTCCTCTCTAACGCAACAGACATGCCCATGCCCAGCAGCAATGAAATATCCCGCAAGGTTGGCTATTCCAAGTTGGAACTTGGGATAAAAGCTCATGTTGAGAAATCAGTGAATCCAGAATCACTGGCAATGTCTCTTCTCCAGCACCAGTTTGCCCTCCCTAAGATCTACGGAGGGCTGGGACTTCAGACCGAGCAAGAAGAATGGGAAGAAGCAGCAGAGGAAGAAGAACCCCTTCGGGTGATCCTGCAGCCCAGGCAAAAGCTTTACTGGTGGCATTACTGCCTGGGTTTGGGCAAGACGCCCATCTTGTATTGCCGGTCCCTGAAGATCACCCGCAACCCTTCAGCCCCTACAAACATACCTTTGCCACAGGCTGAAGTTTGAAGTCAGACTTCAGGACGGAAGCTTTTAACAGGGCTAGGAAGAAGTAAATAAATATATACATGCATGTACTTCCTCTTCTTGTGTCTTTCAGTTGCAAATTACAGGTACAACCAGTGGTGGGAATTCAATATTTTTTACTACCGGTTCTATGGGCGTGGTGTGGCTTTAACAACTGCAGTGATTCACTGAACGACTGTGGTAAGAAAGGTCCTAAAATGGGGCAAAACTCACTTAGCAATGGAAATTTGGAGCCCTCCTGAGCTTCATTTTCACCGGCGGAAGCACTGCAGGCTGGTCCTTCGCTGTTTCCAGAGCAGCCCCCGGGCCAGATCTGGTCCCCAGGCCTTGAGTTTGACACTCCTTTACTTGTTCATAGAATCTAAAAAGCCCAGAATCCTGTTACCAGCATGCGTATGACTTGTGGACATGAAAAATGTTTGGGTGGTCATGAAGGGTTTTGTTGATTTTTTCACAAATTTTCAATTTGACAAACACAAGAAGAACCTATTTGGGCGTCCTTCACACAATATGATATTAAGAAGAAGAAGGGGGAAAAAAGATAACTCAGTGTGCTGTGACTTTTTCCCCCCAAGGAGTTGTCATCAAAACACCAGAGTTAGAAAACAGAAGAATATGGAAACTAATGCTAGTCGGCAAAATAACTCTCTTCCATATTTCTCTACTACAGGTAGTCCTCGACCTACAACTATTCATTTAGTGACCATCTGAAGTTACAGTGGCCCTGAAAAATGTGACTTATGACTGTTTTTCATTTGCAGCTCCTGTGATCAAAATTCAGATGCCTGGCAATTGGTTCATATTTATTATTTATTTATTGCCTTTTCAACTTCTTGACAAGCAACGTCAATGGGAAAGCCTGATTCACTTAACAACCATGTTACTTAATCAACTGCAGTGATCTCCTTAACAATTGTGGCAAGAAAGGTTGTAAAATGGGGCAGAAATTCACTCTTAACATATATGTGACTTAGCAACACAAATTTGGGGCTCCATTGTGGTCATAAGTCAAGGACTACCCGCATTACATAACTTTGGCTTTCCCCAGCTAGGCACCCACTAACAACAACAGCTGTACCAATTTTAAGATACGTTGAGGGCTTTATAAGCACACAATACTGTTTTCAGAAAACAAGATTTATTTTTAGCTTTAAAAAAAAACAGCTGGGGGGAACAGTGCAATTTTTTTTCTCCGTCCTAACAAAAGTGTGTGTTTGTATATAAAATAAAAATTATCTATTATTTATGTGAAACTATAAGAATTGAGCGCCCTAAACATACTTGAATTGCATAAGGGAAATTTAAAAATCTCTGCATAATAATCATTTTGGCACCATACTCCAAAGGTACAAAATAGGATTTATACAATTGGTATCGGAGGCTTAGATTTTCTTCCAACCAGTTGACCTAGATGTTTGAAACAATTCCCATCATTTTTTGAATAGCACGATCAATAACTGTGCCTCAAGACACTGAATACATTTGGAGGTTGCCACCTTGAGGAAAACTATTGTAGAAGTATAAAGCAACTTTTTATCAAGCCAGACACCTAAGCTGCAATGCGTCTTAATATTAAACTGGACTCCAATCAAACTGGAACATGCTGAGATTACACAATTGCTAAGCCTAAAATGGAGGTTCTGTCTATGCATCTCTACCAATAAAGGACAATAGTTGTAGCTTTGGGTTGAAATAAAGAGTTCTTAGTGCTCTCTGAGCTTGGTTGTTTTCTTGCAGACGTTTCACTACCCAACTAAGTAACATCATCGGTGCTAGCATCCAATGATGGTGCTACCTAGTTTGGGTAGTGAAACATCTGCAGGAAAACAACCAAGCTCGGCAGTACCAAGGTTCCCTCATCTCTACCCTTTTAAAGTGAAACCCTACAAATGTCATGACTTTTACCTCCGAAATCTCTGATTGGTCAAAACAGAGCCAAGATGGATGCTGGGAATTGAAGTTTTAAGAGTGAGAAATCCTGCGGGAATCTCTCTCATGGCAAAGGACCTATTTATTCGGAGTAATTCCTTTTCAAAAGTCTTTGGCTCTCTCATAGCTTAGGTTAGCCATATTGCATGTAGGGAGTTCCCTTCCTGCAAGCAACTTCACATTTCTGGAATGGAGAGAGCTCCGATTATTAGAAGAGAAGACAATGTCATCCAAAGATGAGATTCATCTGATATTAAGGAAATGGGAAAAATACAAGAAGTGTGGGCTTCAGGACTGAAGCATTTTGCAAGGTCCAGTCTTCGCCTTCATTCCTGAAGCATTTTCCTCCGTTGTCAATGGCCACAAATCACTTGAAGTTTAATATCTGAAGGCGGCTGTTTAGATCACCTCGTTTGGAGGGATCCACTAGCTCAGAAAGTAAAACTGAGAATAATCTCTGAAAGCTTGTTCAGGTCTTGGCAGCACGGTTCCCGGATGAGCACGAAGTCCACTTTTCTGTTTTGTCCCTCAAAAATCTCCAGAAGCTTGCTCCTCAGCCACTCCGTCTCTTCTGTGGAGCGAAGCTTCTCCTCCTCAGGGCTGCCCTGCCGACCTCTCCTGTTGTCCCCTCCTGAACCGGCAGGGGGCCTCCTGTCCCTGAGGTGAAGGACCTCCGTCTGCGAGGTGGGACGTGGTGGCGTGAAGTTAGTGGAGGGCTGGCCACTGAAAGAGTGACAATCAGGATACTTGGTTCTGCAGTGTGGGGAGGAAAAAGCAGAAAAATTCAAATCCCACCCTGAGTTTTGCAAGAACTGGAATGGGTGATTTTTCTTTGTTTTCATCAGAGTTTCTCCACGTGAAGTATCAATCAGCTTATTTTCAAACCAATTATTTTAATTGGTGGCTGTTAGATTGATGGCAGACTCCACCTCCCTTCCCCCACTCGCTATCTGCCCTCCACCCATCCATCATTTTGGTTATCATATTGATGTATTTTATTCCCGTTGTGTTCCTTTGTCATTGTTTATTGTTTCTACTCTTTTACTTCTGTTTATCCAGCTTTTCATTTTTCTTCCTCTTTACTGTCGTAAGCTGCCTAAAGTAGTCCTATAGCAAGATGAGTGGCAAATAAATTTAACAAAATATTTTTTTAAAAAAAAAATTGCACAGAATAAGATAAATCAGTGGAGTTAATGCACCACTGGGAAAATCTCAGTAATCTAAGCAGAATTTAAGATTGCTTTCCAAATTAATAGATTAACAGAGTTGAAAGGGACGTTGTAGGTTATCTAGTCCAACCCTCCACCCAAGCAGGAGATTCTACACCATTTCTTACAAATGGCAGTCCAGTCTCTTCATGAAAGCTTCCAGTGATGAAGCCCCCAGAACTTCTGAAGGCAAGCTGTTACATTGATTGATTGTTCCCACTGTCAGAAAATTTTTCCTTACTTCTAGGTTGAATCTCTCCTCGATCAGTTTCCATCCACTATTCCTTGTCTGCCCCTCAAATGTCTCCCCTGGTCCTTCTCTTCACGAGACTAGCCACTCCCAGTTTCTGCTACGTTGTATGTTTTAGCCTCCAAGTGCCCTCTTCATCCTGGTTGCTCTTTGCACTTTTTCTAGAGTCTCAACATCTTTTTTTATAGTGTGGTGACCAAAACTGGATGTACTATTCGAGGTGTGGTCTTACCAGGGCTTTATAGATTGGTATTAGTGACTCACTTATTCCTGATTCTATCCTTCTGTTAATGATTGTAAAACAAATCAGCAGAAGGAGTTTGAAATACTTCAAATAGCAAAGGGGAAAGGGATCTTGAAAGCACTGCTTATGAAGGACAAGTAAATGCACTGGTATTAGAAAGTTAACTAAGCAGTAACTGAATAAACTGGCCCACAGTCAGTCCTGGGTCCAGGACTTCTCCATAACTGAGAAGTCGCTCACAAGATAGTAGTTGAAAGTTCTAACTGTCCACATGGAGAACTAGATAAGAGAATTGGAAGGGACATCGGAAGTCTTCTAGTCCAACCCCCTGCTCAAACAAAAGACCCAAAATCATTTCAGACAAAGGGATATCCAATCTCTTTTTGGAAAGCCTTCAGTGATGAAGTGCCCATAAATTCTGATGGCAAGTTATTGCATTGGTTGATTGCTCTCATCATTAGGAAATTTCTCCCTAGTTCTAAGTTGCTTCTCTTCTTGGTTATTTCAAACCATTCTTACCTTTCCTACTGGTGCTTTGGAGGATAGTTTGACACTCTCATCTTAGCTAACCCTTAGCTGAATGTGGATCTGGACTTGGCCATCTCTGATGCTCCCAACAAGACTATTGCTATTCTGACCACTGGCTCCATGCTTCTGCCCAGCTGTCAATGGCCAAAAGGTTGAAGGTTGAACTCAGCTGGGTCAAAAACATGTGTTCCCTCCAGATGTACTTCCTGTCCTGATCCTTCACCTCCCTGAGCCACAACTATCAGGAGGAGCAGCTCGTCCTTCAAGCTGCTGACTTTTCTGGAGCTGCTACTCTGTTTTCCCCGAAAATTTGACCTACCCTGAAAGTAAGTCCCAGCTTAATTTTTACACATGTGCCCAATATAAGCCCTAACCCCAAAATAAGCCCTAATTAATATCCCTCCCACTCCAGAGTGCATGGGTAAAAATTAAGCTAGGGTAGGGATGGGGGAGTGGAGATGTAGTTGTAGCCAGGCCTCACACACCCCAACACCTGCCTGGCCGGCCCATTTCTTCTGCAGCCAGCAAGGCTGGCAAGGCTTTCCTGAAGGTCTCTGTAGCTGATAACAAAGCTCCAGATCGATCCAGAGCTCTGTTATTAGCTGCAGAGGCCTTCAGGAAAGCTTTGCCAGCTGCAGAAGAAGTAGTTTCTGAAGGCCTCTGACAGCGAAAAGGAGGCCGGGGGCGATGCGCGCAAGTGAGGTTAATCAGTGGATTACATCCCCCGAAAATAAGACTTTGTGCCTTTTTTTGTGGCAAAAAAATATAAGACAGGGTCTTATTTTGGGGGAAACACGGTAGTTCTCAGCAAAGCAGTTCCCAGGACTGAGCCCAGCCTAGGTTTTCAGTCTCTCCTTTGCAGCAACCAAGGAGAACGTTTTCATAAACCTTACCCACAAATTAAACATTTTTCAGATATAATAAATAGAGCG